AGTTTATCATCAAGTAGAGATAACGCAACTAGTGCTCCAGTAAGAAGCCATGCTTTAGCACACCCTGCGTTCCCGCCATGGGACTTCATATGGCTGAGACACTCTCCCCAAATTCCTGTTCCTCCTTCCAGAAGGAATCCCTGAATCTTTGTATCTTCCTAACTGAGCACCACTCCCAGCATACCGGAAGGCACTCCATAAATATTTGTTGGGTAAACTGAAAGAGAAGTTTATAAGCAGAAGGGTGATTAAGCAAGAATTGGGTATCAAAGTCAGGATATATCCTGGAAGGGTTTTTAAGTGTTACCAATTCTGCTATGACTAAAAAGCAGAGTACAGGTAAAAAGAATATTCATCTGCTAATTGGATAATTTTAGGCTATGAATTCCTTAAAATGAAAAAAAAATTAAATATACACATTATCTTGTTAAAAGTAAGTACATGTTGAAGAAAATCACCCAGGATATAAACTTTTTAAAAATGAAATAAATGCATCACTTATAGTGATGGTGGACTGCTCTAATGAAAAATCCTTGCTCTCATCTCAAATAATGATAATGTATCTGTTTAGTTGTCTCTCAGCAAATTCCTAAGTATCTCCTTAAATTACCACATGTAAATAAAACAGCCAAACCATCATTAGATTTTCTGATGTGTTTGTACATCAAACCTGCAAACTTATCAACATAAAAAGCCACTAAAAATGTACAGTGTTGGGGGGCCTGCCTGGCTCAGTTGGTAGACCATGCAACTCTTGATCTCAGCCTTGTGAGTTCGAACTCTATGTTGTGTGAAAGATTACTTAAAAACAAAATCTTTAAAAAAACAAGCAAAAAGAACATGGCTCTCCTGGCTAAAAAATACAATCATATAAGGCTTTTTATTTATCTTTATTTTTTTTAAGATTTTATTTATTTATTCATAAGAGACAGAGACAGAGAGAGAGGCAGAGGGAGAAAGAGGCTCCCCGCCAAGCAGGGAGCCCGATGTGGGACTCGATTCCAGGATCCTGGGATCACGACCTGAGCCAAAGGCAGACGCTTAACCATCTGAGCCACCCAGGCACCCCATATAAAGCTTTTTAAATAGTTTCGCTACCTTCTTTTAATTTGGCATCACATAGAGAAGCAAAACCATAAAAGCTGCATGCAAAACACTTATCTATGATGACTGAAAAACTTTTCAATAGTAAGCACATCATATACCCAATCTCAAAAGGCATGTCAATTAAGGAAAGGCAACATTTGCGATATTCTACATTGTTTCAGAAATAAATATGCTTTTATAAAACTCTGAGTTACGGAAAGACCTTTAGAAGAATACATGACATTTTCCTCAACATTCTGATTAAAATCAATGAAATAATGCTACTACTTAAAAAAATGATATTTATTTCCTTTTATCCAAAGAGTTATTATAACATTCACATCTGTACCGTAAATGTTACAGCTAAAATGAGATCTAGAAGTAAACACTTTCATGGAAAGCTAATTCTAATGACTCACTAAGATCATACAACACTACTTAAAATTTCCACGAAAAAGGGCCCTTTATATTCGATTGGTTTAACTTTATTTTTAGCACTTCGCAGGCCTAACTGTTACAATTTTAAATTTCCTAGACATACATCTATAGAAACTATTTTTGACTAAAATAAAAGGCTGTAACCAGATATGAATGAGAAAATTACTTAAACTCCAGAGAAGAATCAACTTCAAACTTGAACCCTATGACCTGTTGCCATGACATGGGGCTCAACAGTTTTCCTAAAGGTGTGTAGTTTTATAGTCACGGGATATGCCTCCTATGGTGGTATCCAAGAGATTTAGCAACTAGTTCAAACCTCTATTTTCTTATTTTGAAATCCTTCTCATTTTCCAATTTGTAATTCTTCTCTTGGGTGATCTTAAGTTAGAAAGATTTTATTCTTAGGGAAAGAAAGGGGGTATAGAAACACACTGAAAGATAACAAATATATGCTGGTAAGTCTAAATTACAGAAGCTAGCCGAAAAGTGTGCAATTTAAAATTGTTATGCCGTGGGGCGCCTGAGTGGCTCAGCTGGTTAAGCGTCCAGCTCTTGATTTCAGCTCAGGTCATGAGATCTCAGAGTCGTGAGATTGAGCCCGGCATCAGGCTCCTCACTGGGCACGTAGCCTGCTTAAGATTCTCTTTCTCCCTCGCCTTCTGCCCTTCCCCCCGCCCCACTCACACTGTCTCTAAAAATAAAATAGTTATGCCTCAAAAACTATTGAGCAATTCAGTGAAAATCCTATGACATCAGACATCATTAACTCATGATACATAAAGGGTTCGTGTGTTACAAACCAACCACAGCACTGTTTTAAAGTTATGTCTAACTTCATTACGTGGATGCAATGGTTGTCCAGTGGGAGGCAGTAATTTCTTTTCCTTTATCTCATGTTCTATTACTAACGAAAGTAAATGCAGTTTTGATATGAGGAAGTAAAAAACACACTTCATTTTCTAGGGGGTCCCTAGATTTAAGCAAGATGAAAATTTTATTTATTTATTTATTTAAGTTTATTTATTTAAGTAACCTCTACACCAATGTGGGGCTTGAACTCAGGACGCCACGATCAAGAATCGCGTGCTCTTCATACTGAGCCAGTCAGGTGCCCCTTAAGTTAGATGCAATTTAAATTTGGGTTTCACGACGCCTAAGTCTGTCTACTTCAGTCAGTAAGTTCCGAACCACTTCATGTCTTCAAAATCAAATATGTGTATTAAATAATCAGTTACTTCTCATGGAATTCTGAAGCTACATAATATTTAAGTGAAATATTATCTTCCCATTAGCTAGCATATATTTATTCATTCATTCCTTAACCAACTGAGCCACCCAGGTGTCCCCCATTCATTCATTCCTTATTCAGCTTGATCTAAGCTACAGACTCTGTTGAGCATTTTTATGAGTCTTCTACCACTAGGTCTGGACATGTTATTTAAATTCCTATCATGCTGTTCAGTCAGTAAACGAAAATATTTATGTTTGGGAATTTCCAGAATTACCAATTTTTGAGATTCTGATCTGTAAAGCACAGAAGCAACATAACTTATATTCCAAAAAGGGTGAAGAGGCAGTGAGACTGAGCTTAAACTGATACTCTAAACAGGGAACAAACATTAGCAAAATAATTAGGACCATGTTTTCACATCTGTCAACTAAAATGCATTTGTTTCAACTGAGGACTTCTTCCCATATTAGCATTACCGACAGTGCAAGATTGACTCCTTGAACTTCACAAATACCAAAATCAATCAACTCGCTATGGCTTAGCCCAAAGCCTATAAAGAAGAGGTACATGCTGAATTAGTTCAATCATCAATAAGTATTAAGAACTTAGGACTTTGCTAGATGTTACAAGTATACAGAAGAACACATGTTCCCTGGCCACAAATCTCTGGCAATCTAATCAGGCAGACTGCATATTCACATATGGAACATGAATGGGTAAGCAATAATATATTGCTACTGTAAAGCCTTGACTATCCAGAACCCTGGATAAGCCTTGCTTATTAGTCAATTTTTAAAAAATTAACTTCAGGGGCGCCTGGGTGGCTCAGTCGGTGAAGCATCTGCCTTCAGCTCAGGTCACGATCCCAGGGTCCCGGGATCGAGCCCCCGCATCAGGCTCCTGGCTCGGTGGGGAGCCTGCTTCTCCCTCTCCCACTCCCCCTGCTTATGCTCTCTCTCTGACAAATAAATAAAATCTTAAAATAAATAAATAATTTCAATTTAAAACAATAGGAATGGGCTAACTCTTCAAATATCAAAACTTCCCTATTTTTCACCTTTTGACGGAAATCTTTTGGCCCTTCACCGTCTTCAAGTCTAAACTGGACACGAGTCTTTTAAAAGTACTTCACAGACACCATAATGCGCAAGAGCTCCTGTGATGATGCCTCGGATGTAGATACAGCAATGTGGGCCAGCAATATCTGTCACTCCTCATCCTCGCCTGACTCCGGCCCCCGTATATACTTGCACATGAAACCCGGACGCTACGGAGAGAGAAGTGGCTCTTTTCTTTAGACTCGGATACCTATACCAAGAGAGAAGCCCTATACCTTGAAGGTGGATAGTCTCACACGTTAGTATGCCTAAGAATCATCCGGGGTGAATATTTTAAAGGTAGAAGTCTGGACGTGGGGCCTAGGATCTTAAACAAGTACTCCAGTTGATTTTCAGGCCTGGTCTACTAAACTTGGAGAAACACTGCTTTAAAGTCAAGGTCGCTAACCCCCACTCAAGATAGCCCCAGCTGTGGCGAGACTGCTTTCTCTCTCAGTCGCTAGCCTTCGTCAACATATCAGCGTCGGCTGCCCACCACTCGTTGTCAGTCTGCACTGTCCAGGGTCATTATCTTACCCTCCCACACTCTAGATCCTTCCAGGTCTGAGAGAGTCTGACAGCAAGGTCTCCAGCTGGCTGACAGAGAGGCACAGAGGCAGACCAACAGACATCTTCGAAGAGGGGAATTGTGAAATCCCAGCAATTAGGAAACAAAGGTGGTATCCATTATATCGATTGTTCAATACCAGGTAAAAGTTAAAGAAAACTTGTCTCCAACTTTTCCGATGAGGAGAGATGGGGGAGAGGACAGAGGTAGGCACCTGTGGTCTGGTTGCAGATCTCCCACTAGCTAGCTTTGTGGCGGCCCGTGTTAATCCTCCCTTATCTGTAAAATAGGGAAGATGCCCCCTCTCTTTGCCCGACTCACGGCAATATTCTGAAAGCCAACCAAACGTGGGTTTGAGAAAGCCCACTGGAAAATACAAAGCACAATACAAGGATGTACGGTATTTCTGTAACAGAATAATTTATCATTTTTTTCAGCTTAATAAACACAGCAGCCTAGACATTCTTGAAAGTTTCCTTGATGACTGAATGTCTTGTAGTATCTCAGGGTCTTTTCTGACGAAAATAAATTCTCACTGACAAAAAAGATAGAGGAAAATGCAGACCCTTGGACATACCCTGGAGTTGATTTTTTGAATATATCCTTGAAATCGGCTTGTTTTAAAGACAATTGCCTCCGTCTCCTGAAGTGGAGTGCAAAAAAAAAAAAAAAAAAAAAAATCTGGTTAATGGTGGCTTTACTGGATTTAGTTCGGATTTTTCAAAGCATGCGCTGCAGATATTTTAGTTGTAAATTAATAAACCACGTTTCTAAATTCTGAGCAGCTAATACCACACAGAACAATTTTTAAACATGTAAATTAACTGTAAAACACTTAACAAGAAAGCCATAAGATTCTATTTGTTTTTAGACGCTCTCTTAATGTTTCAGAAAGTCTGGACTAAAGACTGATATGAAGTACAACATCTATTGGCAGCTGATCAGAAAGACTAAACTAGCCAAATTTGGACAGAAGGAAACACTTTTCCAGTAAATATATACGCGGCCTTGGAATGCTTTGTCATCTTCTTGTTTCTGAAGCCTAAAAAGTTCAATTCTTTGCTGATAGACTGTTTTGCCATAAAAACCTGAAAGCAAATGACACACATTACAAGCTTTCAGGGAACAGATGGTTAATGTTCTCCTAGGTTCGTTTACTACCAATTTTCTTATTTTCATACTGCTTGTAATTAATAAAAACATACAAATAGATGCACCGTCTTCTAAGCAGGGGATTTTGTTTTGGTGAAGTTCTGCCATGTATCCCATCCCTTTGGGCTAATCTAAAAGATGATGGTGATGAAGAAACAGACTTCAGCCACTGCCTGGGGCAGGCAGCGTTCAAACTAGAGACTACCACAGGAGCACTGCGGTGAGCTGTCGCCAGTCAACTTTGTGGGGAAATGAAAGTACGCCGCCGGCAGGTGCTGGAGCAGCTCTAAGCCCTAATTTAACGCATTTAACATTTGTGACATTTACGTTGCTTTTAGCTTACAGAAAGTGACCATTACTAAGCATTACAATTACCTAACTTTTGCTTCAAAATAAGCAGTTTGGGCTCTTTTCTGGGTCATCCCACAAGCACCACTGCATTATTAAAGTCACAACTAAATCGAAGTCATAGCCTAAGAGTATCTTTAGAAAGACCTTGGCAGAGACCTTACCCAAAATGGGATCCTCAGTCTAAGGACCTCTTATGCCAAAGGTAGGCAGCAAGTCTTTTCTTTCTTTTTTAGGACGAGGAATTCAAAACAGCATCTCTTTAATGGCAATACTGTTTCAAAGTCTACTTTTAAAACGCTACACACATCAAAATTGTTATTTTTGAATCAGAAAAAGCTACAATGGATTGAATTAATATCTGCCCCATTTTAGCATTAAGCCTCACCACGCAAATAACAATTATATTATCTTTTTCCTTAAAAATGCAGGAAAGTATCTTTAAATACAGCTTATTTTATATTCCTATTAATATTATTCCTTTCCTTTGTGTATTTAAGAAGAATCTGGTGTGCCACCTTCTGGTAGCTCAGTGAAATTATGTATCTCTACACAAGTCACTATTCTTTATTTTAACTTTTAAAAAATATATATATTTCTTAGCCTGTATTACATTTAAGCTATACAGAGAAACATAGACACACATCTATACCACACTCTGAAATACAGCACGATTTCCTCAGTGATTTTTTTAAAAAATATCAAGCTTTATATATGCTTTCCTATGATTTTTGCATGGTTACCAATATGTCTCCTGAATTCTACAATACATATAAAATTGATTTTTGTACACCGCTTCACAGGCACATAGGAAAACAACAGGCTTGCTATTTTAATGCATAAGCAACAGCAGTAAATAAAGGAAAAGAAAGGTCTCTTACCAATAAGCCCATTTTTCTCTTAAGGTTTGAACTCTCATCATTTGTCATGTTCTTGTGGATCCCTCTCTCATCAAATTCTCTGGAGTTTTAAAGTTGAGAGCGGCGATGCACAGCGAGGCTCTCCTACACAGTAGCGCACCCCAGTGCATCTGCCTGGTATAGCACTTCAGTTGTAGCTCCCAAAAGCAGAAAACAGCCTTTACGTATTCAAAAACCCATCCACTGAACACCGTCCCTTGGTAGCAAATTGTAGCCAGCGTGGCGGAACTACTTCTATTTCTTATCTTAAGCGCGGATCAGATACAGAGATCAGAACCACATGAATCTTGAGCTTAGTTCCAGTTAATTGAACAGGAACAAAGTGTTCATCTTTAGAGCAGAGGTGGGATGAGACAAATACTAGCATCAGGAGATCTGACGTAGGGGGGGGAAGAATGTTTACCTGAAAGTAACCTGATTTTTTCAAGGGTCACTGCCCTGTCATGGGTCCTATTCCCTTAAATCTTCATTACCTGTAACTCTTCCCTCTCTCGTGCCGCTAGTAGCCGGTCATTAAGTCCTAGCCTTTATTCTTTAACGGTTTGTACAGGTGTCTAATCCCTAGTTTGTGTCTTTTTTTAACAAATGAGCTTCTTCCAAAAATACATATAACTGGTCTCTCTGCACCTCCCATGTTCAAGCTATCAAACACCTCGCTTCTGGATGAGCTCTCTTAAAATGCAACTATACATGACGTAAATTAAATGTTTGGTAAAGATTTTACTCAACCAATACTTGTTAAGAATTTGCTACATGTGTGGTAGGGACTCTGCCAGGTGATATGGATATAAAGGTGAACAAGACAACCCCTTGTTCTCAGGAAGCTCTCAGTTGAGTGAGAGAAGCAGACATGCTCCCTGACAGCACAAAATATGGCATAGAAGCTTTGCTAGGATATGCCTAGGATTCTACAGAGGAACGATAAAAATCAGAGGAGCAATAAAAATCGGGCTGCAACTGAGGTGGAAGAATGAGGCATTCCCCAGGCAGACTCCAGAAGACAGAGTCTGTGTGGACACACAGAGATTTAAAGGAGCCCAGTGTGTCGGAAGGATCGAGAAAGTCTTCAATATTACCGGGAGAAGTATAGATACATGGTGCTGAGGGGAGCGGATTTTAAGGTCTACAGAGTGAGTGAAGAGGCTTGGATCTTATCCCATGAGCTACGAGAAGCCATCTGTTGAACGAGTGGATCACTCGAGGAATTAATCAAGCAACAATGCCCAGCACTAAGAACTCATTACAAGCTGGCTAACTTAGTCTTGGAGTCCGCTGACGTAGTAGCTCCTAACCCCAACTGCCTATTCTCTAGCTCACAAACTTGTTTTGTTCTTTGTTTCCCTTTGCTCCAGAGGTCCTCCTACATGAAATCTCTTTCCCTCTCCGCTCTTCTGAACTCAACTCATCCTGCTAGATCCAGCTCAAATTCCATTCTTTGCTGTGATGTCTCCCCCGTGGTACTTTGAGTCCCCTCCAGTTTTTAAATGTTCCTCCATTACACAGACCGCACATTACTCCTACCGTTGAGCACACACTGTTCGAAAAACCCTTTGGACTCTGCCTATAAAGCCTAGCAAGCAGAGAGAAGGCCGGTGAGAGCCTGAGGGTAAGTGGCCCAAGAAAGCACACCTCCCCAGACTTCACAGTACACACCAATCTTGGTACCTTCTCTTACCACTCTCAAGCCTGAAAAGGAAAGGCTATGAACTGTGAAGTGAACTCTGTCTGCATTGGGCAGCAACTCTGCATTACCATCTAACAAGGGTGGTTATATACCCCACGGCTGCCGTTTGAAAATTCCAGAAAATTGATGAGAAAGGGATACCAACAGAATAGCTTAATTATGGAGGTGTGATCTTCGAGGGGAAAAAAAAAAAGAGCTGCAAGGGGGCTTGGGGTGGGGGGGCTGTGCTTGTGTTTTACTACTTGCAGTAAACCGAGAGAATTCACCTGAAGGCGCATACGATAACCAAAAAGAATTCATGAAGACCACGGAAAGAGATGGGAGAGAGAGTGAGGGCAGGGCATTAGATCCGGAAGGTTTAGCATCTCATGAGGTTTAAGGGAGAAAATCCATGTGTAAGAAGGGGGGGATGTTTAAAAGGTGGGGGGTAATAGTGTTAGCCGGGAGATGAATCTAGGACAAGAAGCTTTACCACAGAAACAAGTCCTGGAGTGTAAATATTGAGTGTTCTCTCCCTGTGGAACCACACCCCATTATGCTCAGTGTCAAATACTCAGACAAGCTTTCGTTGATGTTGGCATTTAGCATTCAGCTTTGTCTCAACCTTTTTATGTATGCATAATCTCTTAGATTTTGCAATGATGCAAAAACCATGGAGTTTTATGTAGACAATAAAAAAATCTTTTCATCTTATTCAATGATTTTATGTTAAAGTGGGTTAAGAGGGATCTGCCAATAATTCCAAAAGGCAGTTAATACTTGAAAATATTCGTTCAATGACCTAAAAATGTCCCAGATAAAAGCTGTCTACACCTTCTTTCTTGTTTATTGAGTGCAAAAACTGACCACTTCCCTTTCCATTAACTTATAAGGAAAAAATTCGAATACAGAAAAAAAAAAAAAGGAGAATGTGATTTTGGATATGGGCCACACTTTTCTCAAGAATTCTTCAAAAAAGGGCAGTACTTAGGGGACATAAAAATGATTTAATCCACGAGGTCCTCAGAAGAATGTTTTTAAACTATGTATCAATGGTATCATAGACTTTAAAACAAAGAGAAAAATAAACCAGACCATTTCCTCAGTTAATTTTGTGGAAAACAGAACAATTGCCAGAATATTTCCCCCAAGCCTGGCAGGAAAAAAGGCAATCACCATTTTATATTATAGTTTGAACTAGAATAGGTATTTAATCCAAATTCGCATACACGTTCACATGCACGAGCTCATCTAGAAGAGGAGAAAGGAAAACACCTCCTGGGAGTGCACAGTAAATCTCCTAGAGTATTAGTGATTTTGATGACAGGGTCTATATTAATCTAATATAAATAATGCACTTACATTCCATTTAAAATAGCCTCATTCTGTTATCTCATCCATAGCCGCACTGGACTCTCCTTCCTTCTGCCGTATGTTAAGATGGGTCAGAGCAGGAGGACTTGAGTGGTTTAGAGAGTTTTCAGTCATGCAGAAATGTCCTTGGATAACAGATTTTGAAAACCACTGATCTAAACAAGGGTTGGTCAGGGGGATTTATAC